ATATATATATATATATATATATATATATATATATATATATATGTATATATATTTACCTTATCACGTATGTCCTGTCTCATTTTCTCGCGCTCCTCTTCCATTTTGCGGTGTTTCTCCTTGCGCCGTTCCTCGGCTTCACGAATGGCCTCCTGACGCTCCCTCTCTTCCTCCTCTGCCTTTTCCTTATCGTCACCATCATCGCCGCCATCACCTCCTACCGCGCCTGCACAAAGATCAATTGAAATCAGTATTAGCCTACCGCAAGATAATCTTTACTATATATATATATAGTCTAAATCATATAATTACGGTACTGTAGACATTCGTTGTCTACATATTCAATACTGTTCTGTATTCAATCTGTTTCAATCAAAATATGTCATGACCAATTTAGCTTGACACTTTGACACAAATTCAGAGATAACCAGCTCTACACAGCAATTGTTTTTAATGTAAATATTTAAAGTTTATATACCTTGAAATTCAAAAGAACAGTCAACAATTTCTGTAAAATTGTAATTAATTACGAAATTTATGTTGGGCAGAAAGTTTTTACTTTCTTTAAATTTTTCTTTCTCTGTTCGTTGTTTCTAAATTAGATTATTTATTTATTATCTTTTATATAAGCTGCACACATTTTATTTGAATTGAGTCTCATAGACACTAATATTTTTTTTTGTTAAGTGTTGTTGATGTCTAATGTCTACAGCTTATCTGGGGTATATAGAAAATTCGATTAGTTGGCCGGCAGCATTGAATGCGGCATGACGTGCCAGAAAAAGAGAAAATTGTTGCGGAAGTGGAACTGCTAGCAATTTCCGGTAATTTGCATGGGCTGCGACCTTTCAATCTCCTAGCCTCTATTCGTCTAAGGTTAGTTACAGTGCGAGCTAGTTGGCATAAGCATTTGAAATTTATAGCTCGTGGCAAGCAGATCGCTGAAATGTTAATGCCATTTTTTTGCGTACTGTGGCTAGTTGGCGCTTGCCACAGCGTATCGATTGTGGAGCAGGATGTTTTGCGCTTTGGCCAAGAGCTCGAGCAGCTCCTGAACACGACATATTCGCCTTGCCAAGACTTCTTTGGCTACGTATGCGGACGCACCGCGAATCAAACACTGCGCCGTCAGCAGGAACAGCTGCGCTTTCAGCAGCTACTTTGCCTAAACAATCCCGGTCCACTTCTGGCCATGGAACAACAGCTGCTTAACTTTTACAAGTCCTGCCAAAGCAGTCGCAGCCTGGACTCGCTCACGTCCACGCAGCTATACAAAAGCAGCGGTGGCTGGCCTGCACTTGAATCCAGCAATATTAATCAAACTGGGCTCGGTTGGTTGGGACTACTCAGCCAGTTCCATGAGATGGGCGCACCGTATTTCTTCGAGTCCCGTATCAGCATGCAGTCGAACAAACGGTTGATCACATTGCAGCCAGATGTGACCAGGCGCCATACGTTGCGCAAGTTTGAGCAGCGTGTGGGCGAGCTGCTTCAGAGCTTTGGCGTCGAGCAGAGTCGGGCCCATATCGTATCGCTCGAGGTACTCAGCCTTGAGCGCAATCGCCGCGATATCATTAAAACGGAGCGTATTGATGATCAGGTGCAGTTCAGCTATGCGAATTTCAAACGAAGTTCCTTCGGCAACTTCTCGATGGCTCGCCTTGATTGGGATGCCTATTTTCGCAACCTGCTCGGTGGTAAGACGTTAAAGCCCACGGACGTAATTGTTGTGAGGCAGCTGCCACGCCTTGTAGACTATATGCATCTATTGCAGAATACGAGCATTCATCGACTGCTTAATTGGATTTGGATTGATTATTTGATAGGTATGTATACCTAATGTTTTAATAGATAGCGCAAGTCTAGTCTCAAAAAAGTTAAATTCTTAACTAAAATTTTGGTAGTCTCCAGCTGTGTTGTACTTAGCTTTCTTAATGCTTATATTTCGTTGTTGTAGACATTGTAGCCGCCGAATGCCAGCAGTTGGCCGACATCTATGCTGGCGACGTCTATGCGCACCTGCTGCAGCGCTTGAGCACGGATCGCGTACAACTGACACAGATGTATGCGAACATTGGTGGAGCCTACAGAGCGCAGTTGGTCGGCAGTGTGTGGATAGACGAGATCTCCGAGCAGTCTTCAAAGCGATTTCTGAGCCAGGTGATGCACATAATGCTCAATGGAGATGAGTTCTTAGATGCTGCCTACCAGGACCTGCAGCTTGGTCGTCGAAACTTCTATCGGAATATGGAGAAACTGCGGCGCTTCCAACACAAGCGACCGCCGCCTTCACCAGCTACACTGCTGCTTCGCCAATATGCGCGAGGTTTTGAGACCATTTATGGATTGTTGCCAAAACAGCAGCACCAGAGCTTGACAACGCCGCTTGTCTATGTGCTTCTTGCGGAACGCTTTGCACGTCATCTGGTGGCCGCCGGCAGCAGTAGTCGCACACCCGGGGCTTGGCGCAGCATCGACTCAGACCGCCAGTTCGCCCAGTTTGTGAACTGCAGCAAGACGGCGAGCGACACAAACGCCCACGAACTGTTATTGAATACGCTGGCTCAGCGCCTGGCCGGCAGCACCTACAAAGAGTGGCTGGATCAGCAGCCTACAGCGAACAGAGTGAATATGCTGCTGGCTGCAGGTAAGCTGCAGTTGTCGCTGCAGCGTCTGTACTTCATTGGCAATCTGCTGATGGAGTGCCCAGAAGGACAGCAGGAGCATAAACGTCAGCTGCAGCACATGCTCTTGCGTAACACTCCCGAATTCAGCGAGGCGTTCAACTGCCGCCTTGGCGATGCACTTTATGTGCAGCCTCAGCGCTGCCACCTCGCTGAAAATCTTGCGCTCAGCGTTAGTGCATAACAAAACTGAATCGAAGCAGATAAATGTGAGTGTGTCAACCTTGAACTTTTTCTTTTTTTCCTGTCACAGGAAATCAATAAACATTGCAAGCACATGGGGTTGTTGGGGATTAGGTCAATTGATTTTTGCTTTGTTCGTTTCTTATTTTTGTGTCAAAGAGCACATGTGTGCTGGCATTTAAATTGCTCGAATGTATACATATGTATGTAAAACAAAGTTAATTTGTATGACTTACATTTAGCAGAGTACAGTTGTGTTAGTATAAACAGCGAAACACGCATAGAGAACGAGAGAGAGAAAGAGTTAGTTAGATAGATAGATAGTTAGAGAGAGAAAAAGAGAGAGAGAGAGAGCGAGCGAAGAAATGAAATTAAAGTGCACACAACAGTTAATTCTCTTCTATACTTTTGTTGGATTTTTGTTATTGGTTTAACTGTTGTTTCCATACCAATGAAATTCATGATTTCGTGACGCTTTTAGGCCAATGCTATCTCTCCGTGCTGCTGGCTTTTGTGTAAAATAAGAGACTACGTTATATGCAGGTACTGCTGTCGCTGCCGTTGTGGTTACGACTGGCCAGTTAGCACGTAGCCGCATTGCCACTTCACACTGAGAGTGGCCAGGCCCCAGTCGTCCGCTGCAACTGTGACACACTGGCGCTGCGCTTTCGTCTTCGTGTTCGCCATCGTTTTGTTCGGCTTCGTGCCCAGTCGGCTTTGGCATCGTCTGCTGTGGTGCGTGTGCCCGTTTCCATATCTATCAAATCGATTTGCTCGCACAGCGGCACAGAAAAACAAACTGCGTACCCGGCCACGAGCGCACACGAACTGAATGCACAAAAATTGAACTTGGCTGTTGCCGACTTTTGAGCGGCGACGCACTCGGTTACATCAACAGCGTGGCTACGTGAGTGAACTTTAGTCGCAGAAGTGCAAAGATGGAGTAGGAGTCAGTCCAACAGTTGCTGGGCTTTTTATGCCAAAACGCCACTGTCGCAGTCGCTGTCGCAGTCGCAGTCGCTGTCGCAGTCGTTGCCGCAGTCGTTGCCGCAGTCGCAGCGCTGGACCATATCGTCTTTGACCCAAGTGTTTGGGGTTGACTTTGTTAACTGTTAACTGTGCGTTGTGCAGCGCCTGCGCAGGTTAAGCTTTGGCTTTGAATATGGCTGAGGCATTGCTTCTGGTAAAAGAAGCAGCAGCAGAATCTATCTTCGTAGTCTCGCTCTAATTATTGTTGTCGCACTCGGGCAGCGTTGCCGACGTTTACGGCACTATTTGCACAGCCTCCGATGTGACGGCGCAAACGCAATAGAAAATTCCCACGCGTTGCTCTTGAGCGCTTTTTCCTAGCTACCATAGGGGTTAGCTGCTAGCGGTTGACCATATATTCCTACTGCTGCGCTGACAGCGCTGCCTCGGCCGGTGCATGCCTCTGCTGATGCTGATGCTGCTGCTGATGCTGCTGCTGCCGCTGCTGCTGTTGTTGCTGCTGCTAAAGGCAACGCACATTAAATTGAATTTATAGTCATCAATTTGCTGAATAGCATCGTGAATTAACTTTTTCTTACTTTTATTGTAGGGTATTCGCATTGATTTCTGTAGACGTTCATTTATTGTTTTTTTAAATCAGTTCCAATGTATTTTATAATAAAAATTGATTGACCCCTGCTCAAGCAAAATGGTGTCAAATTGTTTTGAGCTGAGCAGCCCACATATGTATGTACGTCGAATCAACCCTTAGTTCAACATCGCCCTGACTCCAACCAACCGCTCTACGTTTGTTGCGCTTTTATGAGACTTTTGTAATTTGCTTTATGAACTTTATGAACTTCCTTTTATGCCATCTTACGCTTTCAGTCACTCGCCAGCAGCTCCTACTGTCATTCTACGTCCCTCTTTTATTTATGGCTGCAGCTGACTCTTGGGAGCACCTCCTCATATATATGTATATATACCAGTATATGTACTTTACGCAAAATGCGAATCGAATCTCCAAATATTTATTTCAATAATAATAATGATTTTAAATCGAAAAAGCTTCTTAAACTTGTCAATTCGCTCACAATATTGGATAACAAAGTTTATTTTCCATTTAAGCTTCTAAACTCATTCATATTTTCTTTGAGTGTCTTTTATGTATGCACTCTCTCACTCTTTCTTTCTCTTATGTTTGAAGTTGTTCGTAACTCGTCGCAACTCAATTAAAAACTAATCAAGCCTATTGTAATATAATTATCATGACAGCATAATTAACAGCGCTTGTAGCTTCAATTTTCTCCTGGTCAGCCAGCCTTTCTTCATTTTCATCAGCTTTTTTTCAATATACATATATATATATATATATATAAGTATATATATATATATATATATATATATATATATATATAT